TTCGCTACGGAACGGAACTACCGAAATGGAACAACTGAATGATGTTTTTACCAAAAATACTAAAGTATTCATATCTCCTTTCATTCATAATCATACTCCAAGCCAAATTTTCCAATGGTACAGTTAGTTTTCTCTAACTTTATTGAAAAGTATTTCAGATAGTCTAAAGTAGGATTAAAAGTAACACAAAAACATTATTTTATTTAGTGATATACTGTATATATAATGTTCCCCGTTACTGTCTCGGCATGCTCTTGATTTGATATTATTCTTGAATTTTGTTGTCCCTTCTGTACATTTAATAATTACTAGAGGGCCCATGCTACTCTACAACGTTGAAATGAAAATCATATTCGAGCAATAATCAAATTTATAAATTTTTATTGAGTATCTTGATCTTAACTGATTCAAACGATAAATAGCTCAAATTAAAACCTTTAATTAACTTACTATTTTGCGTCAAAAACATGAAAAAACATAAACAATAGTGGACCTATTGATTTTTAATCATAGAAAACCCTTATAAAAAAATAATTTATATGTTGGTTGTTCACATTGCAATTATTGCTTGTAGTCCGTCCGATTTGGATAACTAATTAATAGCTTAAATGGAAAGCCGGCATTTCACTGAAGGTTCTTAGACCAAAATATGTAGGATTATATAATTATAACTGGTGAAATGCATCTTTTAAATTGAAGTAAGAATTCGAAAAAGTTAAATATATGTTTTTTGGACGAGTAATACAGTAGATCAATATATATGCTGATGCTTAGAGTGAAATCTGTGCACACCTTCAATTTGAGACCTCAATCATGAAAATCGGTTAAATTTATTTTTAAATATAAGAAGATTTGACTCTATTAACGTTTAACGAAAACTATCACCGTTTTACAACAAATTGTGTAGCAGTTCCGGTTAATGATAACAACCTATACTGAATTGAAGCTTTAGAATAGAAGATTTCAAATGTTTACGGGAGCAAGCTCCTAAAATGTAATAATGTCGGTAGCTATACTTGCGATAGTACACTTGATAGGTTTTTAACAGCTTTTAATGATTTATGCATTATTATTATATAATAAATAATGCTATTTAATAAAATAAAAGATTGGTAATCATATGGTTAAACGTACGGACACTGACTAGTTTTTAGGTGGCGGAACAAGCAAATTTTCACAGTTTATTTGAATGTAAACCTATTTTACTCGAAATATGTTTGAGATAGAAAAACACTCTTGAAATACAAAAGTTGTGGATAATTTAATTCTACACTACCGATCTTCCATAAGATTTAAGATCCAAGCATTGTAGCTTATAAGTTACAGACCAAAATATAATATCTTGCATACTCGAATTTCTTCTTAAATAGATTTAATCCCCTAAACCACCCTTGAATTTAGAACTTTGCAAAACCCCCAACTTTGTACATCTACACCATATACATGGATTGTCGTCCCAATGCAAAATTTTATTATTCTAGGTCTTATATATGTTTTGAGATACATTATAGTGATCATTTGTCAGTGATATGCCAATCAATAAAGGTAGGTCAATGGAAAGCATTTATCTACGTGGTGATCGGATGCATAGCAGCTTCAAAACGGATACGTCACAAAATTCGTGTTTGCCTATTAAATATATTGGGTATCTATATTTAATATATAGATACCCAATATGCCTATAAACATTCAAACTTATGGGTCAGTTTGCTGCACACAAAATCCAACAAAGTCTTTTAATAATATAGATACTTAAAAGGTTAAGGAAACTCCAGAACCACTTGGGTGGAACCCAAAAGTCAGATCAGGATAAAAACTACTTAGTTTTCCTATTTAATGCCTGAAGAATCAGTACACCAAATTTCAACGTTCTAGCTAGTCTGGAAGTTGGATTAGTAATGAATCATTGAGTGAGGGCAATTACTTTTGAGTGAGGGCTTTTACTTTTATATGTTAAGATTATTAGCTAAATATAACACATATGAAAGGTACAAAATAAAATCCATAAGTTAAATACAGTAGTAGAATACTGTATATATGAACGGAGCTCCAGACAAAGCTGTCTTTAAAATTTGAAATAGGGGTTGCTGCAGACTTTTAATTTTATCCAGCGAGATTACGCCCCTGAATTTAGTGTTACTCCCTCAATATGACAACACTGTTGGATAAATCTAGCTCAGTGGGATAAATGCAGGGATGCAGCAGGCACTTGTAGAGCGAAATTTCCCACAATTTCCATGTAACCGTTTGACTGGTTTTCAGGTTATGTGACAAAATCCAAAACACAATTGAACATAGGATGCACAATAAATCGGATGTGTTTACTTTTGGGCTATTGACTTAATTATTACATCAAACAATTAAATGTATTCTGAACTTGTGTACCCGTTGCGAAATAGAGCGTACTATAGCTAGCCGCCATACCCGTGCTTCGCTAAAGGAGCGCTAAAGAGAATAATTTATTGTTATGTTCCATAGATCTGTTGTATGAAAAGTTAAATAACTCATAAAATAAATGCCTAACATTTGCATTTAAAGCATCAATCGATTTATTTTCAAAAACCTGTTTTATATCAACTAGACAGCTAGCTGTTATCCACGGGCTTCACCCCGTTCCGTTTGACTTCATAAGTAAATAACACTATTGATTGGATAAGTTAAGTTAACTATGATAATCATTTAGCGTTGAACTTACTAAACAACATCACAGATGCAATTTACGGACTTGAGAGGCCATCAATTCTGGACCTGCCCTTCAGATTTTTGTAAAGAGTTTTATCGAAAAATTTGTTGTTAACAGCTATTTTTAATGTTCAAAAGTTACTTTGTTGTATTGCATTGCATATTTATAATGAAAACATCAAAAGAAATTTACAGATTTTTTAGTTGTACATATTCTTTAAAGGCATCAAGAGAGTTATCAAGATCTCTTAGTTCGCTGACGATATAAATCTGTTTGTGGAAAGTTGCTTCCCTCTATGATTATGAGTAATTTTGCCTTAGGCTTAATACTTTAATTTGAAATGGCAACCATACAAAGTAGGTATTTTAAGCCAAGTACAAGTATGCATGGAGTTGAGTGTAGGATGGATGAGTGGCACGATTTTGTATCCTTGTTAGTGACTAAGGCTGACATATTCCTTAGACACAGCTGTCAATTAATAGCCCATACTTTGGGCTAATGGAAACTATAGGGACCTACAGTTTATAGTAGAATCCGAACCACATTTTTCCTTGGTATAAAAAAATTGGTCTAATTATCAGGATGTACTGCGGATAGTCGTAGTAAGGGCGTTAATTCAAACCACGAAGTATCACATCCACAGTACATGCCTATAAATATCCACAACTCGTGACCTCCTAGTAGCTGAATTACAGGATGACACCACCGTCTCAGTCTCTTAATGATGTCTTAGCTAAGACTTGACCAAAGATAATGGTTGATTCCACCAAGAATAAGTTAAAAATTGTTGGCATTAACAAAATTCTCTGGATATTGACTATTTCCCAGATTCTTATTGACTCGCCATGTGCGTTTGGGCTTTGGGCCAGACATTCAGCACATCTGTGCCAAGACCTCTGGCATTCTCAAAATGATCTGCTGTGCAAGACACTGTTTGAGCATCCATGATTTTTGTATCCATACCTGCTATATATCCAGTATAATTTTTATGTGCGGCAACAACTAGGGTCTTACTGTGTATTCTGGTCGCTTTTACCAGCACAGCCTTTTTCAATGTCTTAGGCCCCCAATACGGGAAGAATGAGCGTACGCCTTATATAAATTGTCCTTAAAGTAGTTCTCGTATGTCAAGAAGTTTACAACATAGATTTACATTGTAAGAAAGGGGATTAACCCCGTACCCACGGTGCTCATCTAAGCAGATACTCTGTTTACATTACACTTATAGTCCTCGCCACCCTAAGTTGAGGCAGCCCAAGGCCGCACGGCGTATATCTAGTGCGGCCTTTGGCTGCCTCAACTTAGGGTGGCGAGGACTATAGTCGACCAGTTGGTGTGAAGAGAGTTGAACAGTAGCATGAGTATCGATTTACAAATTCCTTTCCCAGCTGACGTGAGCTAGGCGATGACCGGTAGGGCTGACTTCCAAGAAACATCGTTAACCTATAAGTCAAACACCCAATCAGCCAATGAGAAGGGCTAATGAAGAAAATGGAGGGGTGAGGAGTCTCTCAGCTGGAGCTGGAGGACCTGAAGAAACAAATCGAGGAGTTCACCACGGGCCACTGGACCAAGAAGATCGAGAGTTTCGGAGTGTGTGTATCGGTGCGTGTGCTTCTGGGACAATAAACAGTATGTAAAAAGAATAAAATATATAACTAAAGTTTTGTAAAACAAACAAGTCATATAGTTTGTCAGTAACTCATTCTTTTAAATTTTTAATTGATTTTCTTTTCTTGTAAATTATAACGTTGTAAATTTATTTATCTTATTATTGTTGATCTTTGCCTTTTCAAAGTTTTCTTTTGCTTTACTTTTGTTGTTTTTCTTAATTTAATTTTGTTCATTACACGTTGAGCAACACCCTTAAGCAGTCTTATGTCTCATTAACCTAACACCTCTAGACTATGAAGTTCAAAAATTTATTCAGAGGAAAATTCTTGAGTGATTTTATTGGGTTGGCTAAATAGAGTTTTTGATTCAACTTTTGAATTACTTATTTCATTTTTACAGTACACTCATTAGTCATTAAACACCAAAATTATTTTATTTTACTAGCTATATATTAACTTTGCTTCTTAAGATTGGCACTCGCATATATAATATAAATATAAATATAATTTTATCTTTATGTATAGTTATCTGAGACATGTACGAACAAGAACAATAAAAAAATATATCTAAAAAAAAGAATATTTTATCTATAAAACTGTCAAAATAGTTGGAAGATCAAAATAAAATATATAATCATTTTTACATGTTTTCTTTACAAATTACAGAGAAGTTTACTGGTAAGAATTTTAACAAAATTAACTGCTATAGATAAATATAAGGTTTATTGGTAAAGTATAAAAACAGTATATAACAATAAAAGGCAACATATAATAATAACTATAGCTGCCCTGTACAGCGGCCAACCTTCTCCATAATATTTTTGTCCAGAGCTGGGGCTAGATCTTTCTTCCTGAAACAAACATTTTAATCTTGGTAAAGAAAGTCACAATTTTAAAATACTCAGGGGTGCCAAATTATGCGGGTTGGTGTAGTTGGTAGTTTCAAATAAAAAGGTCTTATTTTACAATAAATTACCATAGGTACCCTTAACTAAAAGTTTTTAACTGGTTTATTCCGCCTACAAACGTGCGACACAAACTCGATCTTTGAGGGGCTTTCATTGCTTGTTAAAGACACATGTTAACCTCTTGCTACATTACCAAGAGTTATTCTTCTTGCTAGAAGAACACCTTAACTTGTAACTTCAAGAAAACAACTGTATGGGGTGCGCAATAATTTTATTTTTGGATGAAGTGCTTTATGGTCTTGGCCTGCCCCTGTTAACAGTTTTAACAGGATCAGCAACAGGTAAATTAAACCTTTTATATTTTGTCTAGGCCTATATTTCCCTGATCAAGTTAGTGCAAAGAAGTTTTTGTTGAATAATAGTTGTAAAGGCTTTAATTTCCTGAATTGAAATAAGTACCTGGGGACCGAGCCATGGCATAGTTTATTTTGATTGTAAAAGCAATATACAGGAATGGATGCTTTAAAAGAATTTGAAATTTATAAAACAATCAAAATTCAAGCTAACACATTATTAAACGACAAAATCAGTTTACAGTCTAACGCTCTGTATGATACTCTAATAAAAAAACAAGAACAGCTGATGAACAAGAAGCCGAGCTATACAAAGTCCACTGCCAAACCATCTTCCGCATCGCAGTATGACCCTCATCTGCAACTGTGCGCACAAGGTTGGGGTTGGACATTGTAAGTTTTTGTCAGTAAGCCTACTCGTTTTGTTCATAAAACGTCTGACTGTAAATAGTATATGTCCAAGTTTCGCATTTAAACTCTTGATGACCCTTTCGAAGTTACAGTGTTAAATGTTCTTGTACAAGATCTCATGATGAGGACTTAGGTCCTTAAAACCCGTAATCTATAAGGACTAAACAGGATCAATCTGGCAGTACTGAGGTAATTTTATACCTTTTATAGTTGGTTAATTGATCTTGAGACAAAACAACTCAAATATGAAAATGAATATTATGTTATTGATATATTTTAACGTAAACAGTAGGGCAATTACAATGTTGGTCATAATTGTTTTTATACAGTAGGCCAACATTTGGTGGCTTTTGTTCATAAATTCGGACTACTTAACAACTGTTTGGATTAGGCGGTATAGTTCAACTTCCCGTTGTGAAGAACGGGCACAGAAGCTAGTAAATTATTAAGTGATTTAATAAATAACTCTATATATAATATTTACAATAAACTATACCTTCAAAAATCTGGCTGTTTAACGGATGATATGGCAGACATACACTTATCTCACTAGGGTGCTCTTCCTTAAGTTCTTTTACGGAGTACAGCGGCCTATAATTAGTATTCCTTTCAGCGCCTTCTGAAGGAGGGTGCATCCATCTCCTGCAAATGAGTAGGCAGTTATGAGTTGTAGTTAATAGTAGAACGAGGATAGCTATTCTAGGTACGTTTGAGACGACAGCAGGAAAAGTCTATATTTTGTGCTCTTCTGGTATAGTACTCCTGCACCCCAGTGGCGGATCCAGAGGGGGGGGGCAGTCGCAGTTTGGAAATATATGTCATATATTTTTGACTGCATGTAATACAGTAGTGCATACAAATTGCGTAAAATAATTTGTCACACTAACTTAGGGCAAATAAATGGTATAAAACTGCCATTTTTGAAGACTTAGTTTAAACAAATTTTTGGGGAGGGAGGGGGTACCCCCGAACCTCTCAGAAACCCTGGTCCCCCCCTCCTTGTAACTGTTCTAGATCCACCACTGACTGCACGTCATCTTTTCTAGGGTCAGGATATCAAGCACTACGCCGTGAGTACCCTTAAGCTACATTTCCATTCCTACAAGTCGCAGGCACAAGTCGAGGCACATGTCGAGATCATGACGAGGCACATGTCGCACGTAGTTTGTTATGCCGTTTCCATTCCAGGCACAAGTCCCGCGACTACAACTGGCAGACAAGGCAGTGTTCTCTTTTATTGTGATGCGGTGAGGTTCGGTGGCTGATTTTGATTATATTGTGTTCTACAAATCACCATGGATGACATAACAGCCTCTGCTTTTTTATTTATGGCTGGTGCATACAATGAACTTAGAAGAAAACTACCTAGATAGTGGATAAGAAGTTTTATTGGCTAAAAGAGCATTGGAAGGTGCATTTAATCAATTGATGAGAGATTTGCGCGTACAAAGTGGCTTTGAAAATTTCCTCCAACGGACTCAACGAAATTTGAGGTTATGATTACCTGTCATTTATGAGCATGCGGTAGTTTGGAGGACCTGCACATGCGCGAGATGCAGGCACATGTGCCCGCGGCTCGGGCACATGTTTTGTCGCGCAGTCGGCGGGCACAAATTTGTGCCGCGACTTGAGCCAGGATGTTTCCATTCCTACAAATTCGGAGATTTGTGCCGGCACAAATTTTCAGGAATGGAAACGTAGCTTAAGATCCTTTAAGATTGGCCGGCAATGATCCAAATGCCACACAACTGTAATAATCCTAAAGGTTCTGGACAGCATTGTTGTATCATCTGCAAATAATAATGTTTTCCCATTCAGATTAAGGCAGGATTTTGTATAGGTTAGGCCTAATACCCTTAACCTCATTGACGGGTAGGGCAGTCAAAATCGAAGCAAAAATTAAAAGCCGAGTAGGCTAAGTTTATGGGAAGATTTCATTAGCTTAGTGTAGCCTAATGTTTTTAATATCATAAAATAAAAATGTCTTAAAATATTATTAGACTAGCCTAGGCTATTCATGGGGTTTATCAATTATCAATTATTTAAGATGGGGACGCCACTATGTGCGTATTTTAACCCAAATATGAGTGAAGGATGAGTGTAGGATGAGTGGCGCGATCTTGTAGTCTTGTTAGTGACTAAGGCCGACATGTTCCTTAGACACAGCTGTTAATTAATAGCCCATACAGCTAATGGCAACTAAGGGACCTACAGTTTATAGTGGAATCCGAACCACATTTTTCCTTGTAATTTACGAATTGGTCTAATTATCAGGATAGTACTGCGGATAGTCGTAGTACTCACTAGTGCGGACGTTAATCCACACCAGTGAGCATCGCATCCACAGTGCATCCCTATAAATATCCACAATTCGTTACAGCTCTTTTGCTTGATGCATTGAAATGGATTTGATGAAGTAGAACTACATATTACAACAAGTACTATTACCCCTGATCTATTTAACTGCACAACTATACTTATTATTTAATTTAACGTCCGTGATAGAGCCTATATATTTGATAGGCTATGCATAAAAAATGTGACTGTGATAATAGGCCTATATCGCTATTGATCAAGTAGCCTATATACCGTGAGTTAATGTGTCTCAGACGAAGTCTATAGTAATCAGTGATTATTCAACGACCAATAAAATGGGCCTACTTAATTACTTGATGCCTTTAAGATGGCTAAGTTATTTTGTTAGTAGTATCAACTAAGTTTAGACTAACCTACAAGGTTTATTATCACATATAAAAATGTTTTGATGGCCGTTGCCCTGGCGGTAGGTTAGTTGCGCATTTGCTACCTACAAAATCCGGGCCCTGTAGGGTGGGTTATAATGCGGTAGAATGGCGATAAACTTAGGTTAGTTGCCCATTGACGCCTTGAACAATAGATCTCTTGAAATTGTAAAGAGCAATGAAGCGTAGTCCTACGAAAAAGCCAGTCTACCGGAATAGGCAAATCATTATGAATTTAATGTGTACCATGTAACCCATCGAACTATATAACACAACTGGAACACCGGGTAGATAGGAGATTTGGGATAAAAAGCGTGCCGTCTCAGCAACCTTCCCCCACCACAAAGGGGGACTCGACGCAGATATGTCAGTTCCTCAAGCCGTGCACGCGATTGTTAATACGCTCCTGGCCGTGCATACAATAGGTTGACTGCAATTAAAGTTATATATTCGGAATCTGCATTAACTCCAGAATCTGACAGTATAAATATAATCTTATTTAAATCGTAATTCAAATTTTAACAACTAAAAATGTTAAACAAATATCATAACTTGACATGAAAAAGTTACTAAGCGAGGATTTTTTATATTTTTTGTCAGAAGCAAACTTCAAGCAACAAAATTGTAGCTAATGAGATGATCTTCAGCATATAACCAAGCAATTTCAAATAGAATTTTTTAGTCGTGTGTAATGGAGTACGGTAATTAGTAACGCAAAGAGGTTCTTTATAAATTGCGCCGCGGGCCGTCCTTCCTGGTTCCGCTTATCTTTATGTTTACGGTACTCCCAGAAACGTTTTGAGTACCTACAATCAATAGTTATACTAAATACATTTTTAATACAGGTAACACATAAGTACATATGTGTTAGAAATGTGAACTGTGTTACAACTAAACTGTGTTACCTACAAATAACCCCCTTTGTTTGGTTGTAACAAGGGGGTTATTTGTATGCTTTGTTGGGTAATTAATGAGAACTTTCAAATATTAAGGTCCAGAGCAATTAATTAATAAGGTCATGAATACTAAACCTAGATGTCTTTAAGATGGCTAAGTTATTTTGTTAGTAGTATCAACTAAGTTTAGACTAACCTACAAGGTTTATTATCACATACTAGTGAACCTGTGCGGCTCAATGCCCCGCAAAATAACATATGAATTTATAAAACAAATGCATCGTATTATATATTGACTCGACGTCGAAAATTAAATACAGTAATAATAAAGCCTTAAAAGGGAAGCAGTCCAGTCATTTTCTAGCTGTATGTGTATTATATTTAGTAATTATAAGTGTTCAAGTTCAAGTATGTTATAGGCAGCGAGCAAGGTTGTAGGGTAGTTATTTTTTAAAGATTTTTAAAACACATTTAACAAAACATTTTATCATATCAAACCAATAGGCCTATGTAGCATATTTTGAGGGTCATAAAAATGCTGCTTGAAGAAAACACACTTTTAAAAATAAACACTAAAAAAACAATATTTTTATCACAAAAGCACTTCCATGAATACTACGGTTTTAGCCTTAAAGTTATCTTCAGGAAGATTACCCTGAGTTTTCCGTAACGAATATGCGTATCCTATTAAAAGATGTAGCCTTACTTAAAACAAGATATAATATAGTTGCTCATGACTGAAATTGGTCTGGGTAAGAACAGCGCTGCAAATGCCAAAGGTAACAGAAATTAGCATCTTTCCATTTTAAAAGGTAAGTTGGTAAGTTTGTTTCAGACGGTTAATTTTTATCCTCGAAATCAAAATATGTCCCCACTCACTTGTTCCAGTTTTACATTCTATTAAGTTGTTAACCATTCTATTCACATGAAGCCTTGTGCCATTAATTAGGCCCTTTTTGATGTATCAATATTCCTCATCAATAAAACCACTGCCCCCTTTTATTAGTCTAATCTGTGTCTTGGCAATATTTAAACACGCAGTTGGATTTTCTAGATGGGTGTCTCCGCCTTCGTCTGTTTTCAAGGACCCACTCTTCTTCCCCTTGGCTTGGCATACTGACAAATAATTACCTAACTTGTCAAGTTCATGTAGTAATTCATTAATACTGATAGTTTATAAAGAAAATTAGATACAAGTTACTTGGCTTGGTGCTTTCATAACTGCAAACTCAAAATACACCCACAAGTAAAAAAGAATCAAGATATTGGTTAAAAAACTATGTTTGTGTAATAACATTATTCACATGAAGTAGATGATTTGTTTGATTTGTCGATCAGCTGTTTAGTTTCAAATGAATTAATAATGTCAAAGATTTGTGATTTAAATACATAAATTATTACAGTAAAGTTTTCTAAATCATGGTAAATTATTCTCCACTAAATTTTACTATTCCCAGCATTAAAATAAAGTAGTAAGATCCATTATGGGTAAACTTTAAGGTACACAATCCTTGATTGAAATGTAGTAGGGCCTATGTATACATTAAGAGTCATAATACACAGAAATTGTAGTAGACTTTGACTATTTTCAAGTAACAAACATATGTTTCTGTAAATAAAAATTATCTGCCATGTTATCCTTATGGAGAAATACGAAACTTTAAAGGGCTCCAGGGCCTCAATCTCTCATTATTTCCCTAAAATGAAAGTTTCCTGCACAGCTTCACGTTACCCTCTTTCCAATGACACCAAAAACATGTCAATCGGTTCAGTAGTTTCGGAGGAGTAATTGTCACAAAAAACCTGCTTGCGTATTAAATAAGTATAGATAAAAATGTTTTGATGGCCGTTGCCCTGGCGGTAGGTTAGTTGCGCATTTGCTACCTACAAAATCCGGGCCCTGTAGGGTGGGTTATAATGCGGTAGAATGGCGATAAACTTCGGTTAGTTGCCCATTGACGCCCTGAACAATAGATCTCTTAAAATTGTAAAGAGCAATGAAGCGTAGTCCTACGAAAAAGCCAGTCTACCGGAATAGGCAAATCATTATGAATTTAATGTGTACCATGTAACCTTGTAAGTTATAGCCATCCACCTCCACCTGTCACGTAAAGCCACAATAATCAAAGAAAAAATCACACTACTCCAGCTGCTGAGAGTATCAAATACGTATAGGCTATGCTATAAAATGCTAAAAACTCAATTGGTAAACTAAAACTGTCATACGAAAAACTTT